TGCACTAGGGAAAGATTTGTTGCAGAATAAGTATGTTGCAGTTCTGGTTGTTAAATAGAATTGTGGCCTTTTAGTTTTCATCATTGCTTCAATTGTGTTTGGTGCTTGCCATCTGTATTTGGTATAGAAGACCTTAACAGCTGCCTTAAGTATAAAATTGCACTGGATTCTGATGCTCCAGAGTATGGAGGACATAACAGACTGGACCATAATACAGAATTCTTCACTCAGGAGTTTTCGCATAACCATCGTGATAATTCAGTTTTGGTAAGTATATTTTCTCTATTTACACAAAGTATTTCTGCTGTGACAATAACATGTTTAGAGTCCTCTAATAAATACTTGCATTTTGCCTTCTTTGGTTGGTTTTAGCATGAAAATCTAAGACTAAACTAAAGATTCTTAGTGAATGTGATATGGTTTAGGACAAGTGATGTTTGAACAGTAATATTCTTAATTTTTAAATTTGTAATTCAAAGTTACTGACTGGCATACAAGTTGTCTTCGAAATAACTAACCATGGAGTAATTTTAGTGTTAATTTTGTTGTGCTAATGTTTCATTTTGGATTGCTTCATTGTGTGGAACTAACATGCATGTTTACCTTGCAAATTTTTCATACAAACTCCTTTTTTGTGCTGTTTTTTTTAAGTCTTGGCTGCACACAAGTGCATAAACATTCTGAATTGGATTCAACCAACTTTTCCACTTGATCTTGCCCAATTCCTCTTCTCCCTGGAGCCCAGAGTCTACCCAGCTTAATCCATGCAGATCCCGCATTCCCTTCATAGTGTTTATTGGTGGTCAGATGGGGCTCCTCTTCTCCCTTTTGCTAGTGGAAAAGCTGGAAGGACCAACCTATTATTTATGCTGGTGACTTAGGTAAGCGCTTAGACAGAAGTAAAGAAACACAGTCACACTATTTTCTGAAGTTCTAATGTTGGGGAGAGGGTTCCCCTCTCTTTCTTAGGTTCAAGCAGATATAACTTATTTCTTTGGGCCATTACTAACCAAATGGCTTTTTTCATGGCAACATTTCAAAAAGCACATTTTAGTATGTTGGGAAACAATTTTTATTTCTGATGCATCTTACGAATGCATTTAAATTATGTGTGTTCTTTACTATTTATCTGTTTCTTATAAACATGTTCAGAGTAATAGTATCAATCAAATAGAAATCTTGAAGACCTATTCACATTTATTAGTATTATGATGTCTGAGTGCATCTAACCTGACATGGACTTAGAGTAAAGTGGTTGTAATTTACAGTAGAAGAAAGCATGTAAGTATGGATTGAATTGAATGCAGTGAAGTGATCGTACAAAAACTGCTTGCCTGATTTGCTTTTGGTACATCCAGTCCCAATCCTTGAAATGCTTGAATAAGCAGAGAGTTAGCCCAATAAGTTAAAGTGCAGTGGAACCTAACCATTGTTTTGTTTTGTTTTTGCATCAACTCACATCCCCATATGCACCTATTGTCAATTGCAACACCATGGAAAGTTCTGCCGACACGTCCAGGTTGAAGTGAATGGAATGGTGTACCCTTACACTTGGATTCCACCCGCTTCCTTTCATAAAGGCATATGTTGTATTAAAGTACTTTAGTTCAACATTAAGTTGTTTTTACTTGCTCCTATTATTCAATTAAGTATTTATATTTCATTAATGACGTCCCCAAATTGTCTGTAACTTAATTTTTATTTGTCTTTGGGGAATGTTTATTGCCAGAACTTTATACCATCTAAAGCTCTAAAGAATTATGGAAGGCTGTTTGACCATTTCTGGAAGAAATTGCTTACACGTATTCAATCACTACAGTTCATATTCCATGGAGAAATACATATCTACTTAAAACACAGTAGGATGTTAAGCCCACAGAATACTATGTCTATCAGCTACAAGTCAAATCTTAGGAAAGGATACAAAAATTCACAATGTTGTCCTATTTTTTCCACCCACCACACAAACACTGAACATCAGCACACAACAGCTATAGTTCAATGTAATAATTGTACATCTTGTTAACCAAAGCATATTATGAATGTGACATCAGTATTGCAGATGCAACGTAGAAAATAAACATGCCCAGAAATTAAACAGATGTAAAGTGGGCTCTTGATAAGTGCATGCGAAAGAAAGCATGGGGGGGGGAGTACCAAGTTGTCAAGCAATTAATATAGTTTGAAAAGAGCTACAAGCTGTGGCATGGTGACTGCACTACTCATATCAATTATTAAACCCAAGAGCGTGGGTCACTCTTCTCATTTATATCCTTCAGCAGCCCAATTCACAGAGTGAAAGTGAAGGCCAGTTCCGAGGACAGCAGCAAAAACACCACCTGGAGGTAAAGTTGTAGACAAAACTCTGCTCACCTAGAAGAGCAGCACTTAACAAATAGGCAAAATCCTGTTTTATTTGTCTGTGTTTGTGTGTATGTCTCTGTGTGTGAGAGAAAGAGTCAGGTGCCATTTTGTGCAAGAACCTCATCACTAGTGTTATCCATGAGTACTGCTGATAGGCTAACAAAGCCAATTTATTAAGAGGGTTTGCAAAGATTCAATTAAAAGCCATAAAGCGGCAAAGAGCTTCCGTCACTGCACTAAAGTTTAGGGGATGGAGCAATTCTGGAGTCATTCATAGATTTCCATGTAGGGCTGCCAAGCTAGTGGGGGGGGGGATCCCCTGCCTCCCAAGTCCTATTTCCTGCTATTGCTTTGAGCGGCAGCAGGAGAAAAATTAAAAAAGAAATGCATCCATATGTACTTACTGGACATTCTTAGTGGAAGTGACCAGGGGTCATTTCGTAGACAAAGAGGTGCAGGAGCTCATTAGCATAACTTATTAGCACAACTTATTTGCATATGTCACGACCCCTGACATCACTGGAAGTGTGTCAGAAGGCAACACCCACCACTCACGCTCCACTGGACTGTTTTGGATTGCTAGCTATGGGGGGGGGCGCACAGATCTGCCCTCACAGAGGAGGGAGAGCTTGTACCTGAAGGCGAGCCGGGGGGGGGGCTCTGCAACTTACCTGGCTGCTTTTTGCTTCTCTTGGCCTGAGAGGGCTGCTGGGAGCAGGGGGTGGGGCTTGTTGCATGTGCCCGCCCCCTGGGCTCGTTACTGCTGGAGCTCCGCTCCTGTGCGCTCCCGCAGGAAATAACCCCTGGAAGTGACAAATAGTAGCTCTACAAACTGATGAAAACTGGTTTTCCATAGAGTTTCCAGTGATTCCTGTAATTACCTTTTATCACTTCTAGTAAGAACTTCCAGTAAGTATTTGACACTGTATTTTATTAAAAAATATGTTTCTCCTGCAGTGCTGTGTTCCCCTCCAACCCTGCTGCCAGTTGCTAAACACTACTTTTTTTTTTAACCAAGGAGCTATGGGTGACCATTCCTTCTTCCATTTTCACAAGAATCCTTTGAAATATGGAGGGAGGAGGGGGGAGAGAGAGAGCTTTGTCCAGATCATAAAGTAAGCTTCATGACAGACTGGAGATCTTAATTTGGATTTTCCTGGTTCGTGTCTGATGTTGTAACCACTACGCTACACTAGCTGAATCTGACCAAAGGACTGACCAAACATCCTATTTTCCATATTGGCTAGCCAGTTGTCCCCAGAAAGCCACAAGCAGGCCATTAGCCCTCCCCCACTGTTGTCCCCCAGTAACTAGTATGCCTCTGAAAAGAGTTTTACTGTCCTTTCCTTTCAGCAACAGCAGTTAGCCAGTCAGAGGCCAAGAAAGTTTAAGCAGCCTGTCGTTTACATTGGGTGGCTCCAGTTCTGGAACATAGTACACAGTTACAAGTGAGCAAAACCAATCACACAAGAAAACTATGTGTTGCATAATTCCTATTATGAACATAAGGGTTCTCTCTCTCTCATTGGGCTAGTTCTGGGTGCTGTGGCAGTGAGCAAACAGAACCAAGTATCCTTCACGAGTCTGTCTAAATGGTGGCAATAATTTTATCATTGCTATATACCTTCAGCATTTTTATCTAAGACTCCTTATGAAAGGCCTCATATACCAAACTCCATCTGTCTGTTAGGCATTTATGTGTTTCCATGCACTAGAATAAATACAAAAACAGCAAGTCTGCATAAAATGTAAGTATAAAACCACAAGTGTGTATGTGTGAGCCAATACAGGGCATACAGCAGCACCAATCTGCTTGCTGGAAGAAGAAAAGGAAAGGGTGAGAGTACAATGCATTTTAAAATATCATGTGAGCAAGAAATAGTGGTAAATTGAAGTTGTAAGGTCCATTACACTGTGAAGTTGCTTTCTGCAGCCAGGATAATGGCTTTATGGGTACACATGCATTCTGTTATACAGGAGCAGGTTTCAAAGCCATTAACAGCTTTAAATCCCAACAAGTCTAGCTGGAATCCAGATTCATGATGATTATTCAAGCACCTCATCTAGCCACTCATCACTAATCTAAATAATATTTTCCTTGCTAGTTTTGTTTTATTCCTGCTTCCCCCTTTCAAGGTCATGCTCATGTTAATAGTTTCTGCAGCATTTACCACCAAATAGTATTTCTTTGCTAACTATTTTTTTAATATTGAAAGCTGACCTTTAATTAAAGTGTTTTCTATTTGCTGGTGCCTGATCCAAGATAAATGTGACTTTCATTTCCTATCGTTATCTGTATAAGTGGATTGTAGTGGTGCTGTACTTATTGAGTGCTACAACTTTGTTTTGCATAGGTAAGGTCTTGTGTACAGTCCATTGTTGGGGACTTTGTTTTGTATTGTAATTTTTATAACACCGTGCAGTGATAGTGGCTTTATAGATAATCAAAAACATGTTGAAGGAAGGTGTGGTAAATCTCCTAATGCTAGATGCCCCCTCCCTTCTATATGTGTAGGTGATCCTATGAACCTTGGCAGTTTTCTCACTGCCACCACTGGGAGATGATATTACGATACTGATATTAATATTTGGCCAGTTTCATATTTGAACAGCTGTACCTTTAGACAGATCTCAATATTGGAGAGACTGCTTCCTGTTGGTGTGTGTATTCCCATTGCCTTTTACTTCAGGGCTTCCAGGTAGAGTGACAAAGCAGCTGGCAATTCTCCAGAAATTCCCTCCAGACCAGATATCAGATTTTATTGGTTTTATTTACTAAGACTACATACTTTAAAAATAAGTTATTTGGGAACAGAAGTCATCTGTGAGGGATACCAGAGCCATCTCCATCCCATGACCCGGGTGAAAGCCGGTCTAAAAGGGATCTAGAATGGAAGCATCATCCAAAAAGCTCTGAAGCTTTTGTATAGCCATGTAGAATAATTATATAATTATGTATAGCCATGTAGAATAATTGAGAATGCTAGAAAATAAAAGAAAATACAGTGGATACTCATACTATAAACATATTTCCCCCTTAAGAGATCAATCCTGGTTCTGCCTTCCCCAACCCACTTTTTCCCCACCATAGAGAACAATGGAGGCAATAGGGGCAACCTGTTTGGAGGCCCGTAGAATTGGACCCCCTGGTCCAATGTTCTTGAAACTTGGTGGGTATCTTGGGGAGAGGCTCCAGCAACTACTCTGTGAGCTTGGAGCCTCTCCCTCAAACCCACTCCCCTTCAGCCCCCAGAATATACCCTATGTTTTTGCCATTGACTTAAGTGGCAATTCGGCAGCAATTCGGCGGCAAGCCGATTCAGATCAGAGAATCTGAATCAGCCCACAGCAGCCCGAAAGGGGCCCAAATGGGCCATTTTCGGGGGTGCATTCAGTTCAGACGAATCGAATGCACATCCCTACCACAGTCCCTCCCCTTGTCTCATGGGATAATTGTCCAACCCTCAGGCTCATTGAGAGGTAGTTTCCAAGCAGAACAGTGTTCATCTATTAAACAGAAAGCAAATTTCCATCCTGACTCTGGTGTAGTCATATGTGTTCATACATTGCCATAGCTCTGGTTACTTGTAGAATCTCACTGACGTCACCTCAACTCAGATATTCACTGCCTCCAATGGTTTCCTATATAACAAGCAGGGTATAACACAGTATAAAGCAAGGGTGGTCAAACTTGCTTAACGTAAGAGCCACATAGAATAAATGTCAGATGTTTGGGAGCCGCAAGACATGAACAAATATTACATGTTTTTACTGAGAAATATGCAAATTTGTTTTTATTAACATTAAATGAGACTGCCAAAAATAATAACAAAAGTGGTAAAAGCAGATATTGATAATGATATTTGTCCAATGATATTTGTTTGCTAATGATATTTAGCTTCCCCAACCACCCTGCCAGGAGCCACACAATGTGTGTGAAAGAGCCGCATGCGGCTCCCAAGCCACAGTTTGGCCACCCCTGATATAAAGGATTTTGAAGGACTGTGAGTTAGAGTTTTGCATGCCTGTAATGTTAGATTTAATTTTACAGCATGTTATTTTTGAGAATAGAAGCACTTGATGTAACTGAACATTCTAAATAAATGTAGAGGTTTTTGTTTTTGTTTTTTTTTACTCTGATTCAAAGCAAAAAGGGTTTGCTTGTTTAATACAAATTTTCCATCCTGGATATATACTACAGGCCTATCCTCATATGAGCCCAGGAGGACACTCAGATCTATGAATCAACATCTTCTAGTGGTCCCCAGCTCCAGGGACGTCCATGACTATCCTCAACCAGGGCCAGGGTTTTTTTCAGCCCTTGCCCCCACCTGGTAGAATGAGCTTCCATACGAGATCAAGGCCCTGCAGGATCTATTACAGTCCCGCAGGGCCTGAAAGACGGAGCTCTTCCACCAGCCCTTTGGTTGAGGTGGTAGATGTCCCTTCCCTTTCCTGGCTATCTCTCCCTCAGCAGCCTTAACATTGGTACTGCTGAATTGACATCGGTGGCCTGGATCTTAATATCAGTACTGCTAATCAGAATTAGTTGTTGTGTGGTATATTATGGTTTTACTGTTTTAATTATTTTAATTATTATTTTAATGGTATTGTATTGAGACTGTTGTGAACCACCCTGAGCCTGTCCATGGGGAGGGCAGTATATAAATCAAACGAAAGTCATGCATCTGCTTCCACATGGGTGGTCACATATTACAAATGTATAAGTCCCACCCTCTGTGTTAAGCTGTACAGATGCTATTCTCCACAGTTCAAACAGATTTTGAGAATACATACTCAATCACTTGGTTTCCATGAAGCATCTTAGTGGCATTCTCATTGACAAAACTTGTCTATATTTCTGTTCGTAATCATAAAGACCATTTTAAATACAGCAGTTTTCTACATTATGCTAATTCCTTTGTTTGTAGCTGCCGACTGCTTAGATCCATTCAACCTTGTTTATCTAGAAGATTAAGAAATGATTTCTCTAGCACTTAAATCTCCAGTGGTAAATAAGTACAAAAAGCCACAACTATCATTTTTTCTTCTTTCTCCATAAATTTGGAGGCATTTAAGTTGAGCCAACAGGATTTTGTATTTCCTATCCTGCTGAGCAGATTTGTAGGAGTTATTTATCACAGAAACCTTAGGGGAAAAACAGTGTTCACTGGCGAGAGCAGAGATGCATTGGACATGCTACAGTCTGGTTCGATGAAGATCAGCTGTTCTTTTCCTTTTCTCCTAAAGCTGTTTGCTTTACACCTTTCATTCTGGTTGCAGACTATAAAAGCTTTTCATGCCGTCAGTCAGGCTCTGGCTTGGAGATAACATGGCTGAAAATAGCATTATATTAGGAATGCCAGGAGGAGGGGGAGTCTTAAACACAGGAGTTGTCAGAAACGAAGCCTGCAATCTTTAGTCATCTGCTGACTTTTTTCTAATTGCATTGTTATTGAGTTCAGCTTACGTGATCAATTGCATTCACCAGTGTGTAAACCACCACATATCAAGGTAATTGGTAAACAGAACATATCTGTCATGTTTTGAGTTGTGTGTCTAATCTGTGCTTGGAAGGAGCATTGTGTGGAATGTGCTGTCACCGGATTATTTCCCCTTGTTAAGAGAAAAATGCTTTTTTTTTAGAGCAAGCGAGCAAAAATGTCACTGTATAAGATTAAAAGTTTATGTGTAAGAAAATATAATCATGATTTGCAAAGGAAAATGAATGCATTTCCTGTGTTCAAGGATTTGTGCCATAAATCCCTTTTTTCCACTATGGACCTAAAGGTTCTCAAATGCCTTGCTGTGTCATATATCTTGTGTTTACCTGTATAAAATGACATCACAGACCGGGGGCAACTTTAATTCAGAACACAATAGAGCTCAAATACAGTGGTAAGAGTCTGTCATTTATCACTGTACAGTATATCGACCTGGATGTCCTCAAATGTCTGAAATCCGTAATTGTAAATCACCTGGAGCCCTCTAGTGGTGATTGCATTTAAACCCTTTTTGCCATATCAAGCTTTGGGAAGTGGCAAAGGTGCAGCATTTCAGTTACCTTGTGGGACTATGGAGAGAATGCACAGTCCTGAATAGCATTCTAAATTTAATTCATGTTGTTAATATATTTCATTAAAATGTACTGTGTTAGAATCATTGGTGCAGCTCCAATGCATAAGTTGTGTTCAGATGTGCATTTTTAAAAATTCAGGTAGCATTTATTTAGAGTATTTATAGTCCATCCATTGATATTAATAATGGTAGCTTACAGAGTTTTATAAAATGTTTTTATACATATAATTACAGTAAAAAAATCAAGAAAATTGGAGTTGGGTGGGGTGAGCAGCTTTTTGTCATTTTGGTGCTGCTAGAAAATGAAGAATTAATGCTGTCAAAAATACCCAGCCCAGTCCTTGGATTGTCTGTGTTCCCCATGCTGACTATTAGTGAGACCATCTGAGGACTGGGTTGGGGATATCAGTAGAACATACAAGGCACTGTTCTAAAAGTCATCCCACCAGCTTTTCTTCCTGTCCAGAGCACTGACAGATGATTCCAGGGAGCTGAGGGTGTCAAGGGCAAAGCTGACCAGTCCCTGTCTCAGTCTTAGATAGAGCAACAGTGTTTTCTTTAGATGTATCATCTTGGCCCAAATGAAAGGTTCATTGTGTACAGTTTATAAGATGCTGCCATTCTTCTTGTAGGTATACATTCCAAGCAGAGTGGCCATTGTGCTTGAGAACATGGATATCGCAAAATGAAGACTTCCATCCTGTGACTAGATTTATCTCTGCAAGTGCAAGGCAGGAATTTGATGACATTGGTAACCGGGATTTACTGTTTGGGAAATTTTCTATAGGAAGATATGCTAATTCAAAGAGATTCAAATATGTGCTTATTATTTATTAATAATTACAAAAGCTCTCATTTTGTGAAATGCTTATTGAAAGAAACCATATATTAGTGGAATGAAAAACTCCTTGTTCAAGCTTTGATGTTACAGAACTAAACTTCAGAACAGCTGACATCCTTGAAGTAATATTTTATGTTATTCTGTCATGAATAATATGGCCATTTCAGTAATTTGCTCCAATCTGATATATAATTTTTTTCATTAGACCATAATTTTGTATTAGAAGTACTTATAATCAGTTATTTTATTGCCATCAAGGCAGCCTTATAAATCTCTGGAATACTCTGGATTCCAAGTTATAAAGATGCTTAATATTTTCCTACTTCAAACCAATGAGAAGGAAAAGTTCTTACATTTATGGTTTTGGGGAGCTGTGAAACCAAAGAGGCTGGCAATGAAGTAGCTTTACTGAGGTCACACTGTAGGGCCATAGATAACATTTAAATTGTGCCTACGTTCATATGGAATGAATATCACATTAAACATTTAACTCTCTGTTTTGTAGAGGGTATTGGGATTAATATTGGAAATCATGTGTTCTAGGTTAGGCTTTTGAAAGTAAATGGAACTAAGTACTTTGAGGATAATTTCCTATGAGTCTTGGACAATAAAAGGTCCCACCATTCTCAGAAATATTGAAAAACGAATTATGCCCTCTCACTAATGCAGTGGCTTAGATGGAACCACAAAACACACACATTTGCTATAAACTTAGAAGGTTCTTTCACATTTTAAATAAAAACTTCTGTTTTGTTATTAAGAAATAAACAGTGATGTATCTTTTATAAGCTGTATTTCATTTAAAAAGATTTCTTTTTGGATTCTGAAATTATGGAATTAAATTTTTACACAGTTGTGGAAAGAGATTAATTTTTATAGAATCACAAATTTCTTTAAGCTTGTTTTATGGTCAGTTTTTGATATGTAGTCACCATAAAAATATACACCAAAGAAAATCTCTCCAAAAGGAATTCCTGTTGAGCAGTTCTTTGATCAGCCATCTTTATCTCATTATGTAAACTTCAAAGTGTGTGTGCCAGTATTCACTTTACACTTGTAATACAAATTCCTTGCTAAAATTGTCACCATGATAGTCATTTTTGGCCAAGGTTATGTGTACCACTGTGTCCAGGGATCTGTGCATTAGCAGAGCACCATGGGACCTGCTTTCCTATAGCCCTCTTCCCAGATCAGAGCCAAATTGCTTCATCCATGCTAGCATCTCCCCAGGAGGACTTCACTCTGCCCACACAGATGTTAGTAGAGCAGTATAGGTGGAAGGGACAAGGAGGTGTTACCAAAGCAACGACAGCAGTGTGTTAATCAATTCTGTGAGAGTACTTCATATGATCTTACAAATATCTGTTTAATCTCTTGACAATACATAGTATGCATAAACTCTGTTTCTTGTGTTGTAATCAGTTCACCATGTCTGAGGGGCAGCATGTGGCCAACTGCTGAGTAACATCCCTAGTTTTCATTTACCATTTTGATAAATATGAGTGATGTAAGTTACTATTTCCACATTTTAATCTGCAGTGAATCAGCAATTATTTTCCTTACTTTAAATCTGGAGGTGAGATAAACATAATATATTAATATATTATGGAGATGTTGCTGGCTTTGTGTCTGGGCTTGTAAACGCCGTGCAAGGCAGTTGTCCATACCAAACTTTTGTGCAAGAAAAGCAATAAATATGTAATATGATCAGAAACTATAAAATTACTTTCAAATAAATAGTGATGTAAGAAATTGCTTGTGGTGTTTTGGTATCATCATTTAACTCTAAGTATTACTAATGCATATCAAGCTTCAGGAGTGAAATGTTGGCATCAGCAGTAGTGACATGGGACTGTAGGTTAATTATGATTTTTTTTTCTGCTTTAAACAACAGAAATAAAAGAATACTTCTGTCAGTTTCAAACAATTGTCACATATAAATCCTAACTTTACTTAATGTGTTGCAATGCTATAATGCTGGCATTTCTTGCTTTGTAAAATGTGTCTTTTCATTTATATATAGTGGCAGCTTGACAAGGAGTGCCACACTTAGTCACTGTCACCACTTTCTGTTTCTCAGCACCTGCCACAACTTGCCAGTCCCTCCTCTAAACAACCCCCGGCACAGCTACCACACCTTATCTCATTGTTCCACAGGTGTCTTTAAATACAGCACAGCAAGCAAGAGTTCAGGAAGCCCTGTGCTGTGGCTTGCTGTTCTGGCTTTAAATATTCCTATAGAATGGGGTGATAGGGAATGTGAGATGCTCTGTCCCCTGGGGAGTGGGTGGCCATAAGAGTGGTACAGCATAGACAACAGCGAAGCAAATCCATGGTGGTGTGGAGTCTGCCACCACCCAAAATACACCTCTTCAGACCAGTGTCTTGCCTCACCTCATTGTAGAACCAGCCATACTTATAGATTCTTGAAAAGGAATTGTTAGGCATCGATAAAATTCAACTATAAGATTTGAAACCACATTTTAAGCCTGGTTGGTAGAGGAGAGTACAAAACATGGTTTATGGTCCAGATTTCACAAAAGACAATAGTTTGCTGGGGAAGTAGTAGTGTTTTATGATCAAGCTGCATGGGAAGGGAAGTGCAAGTCCAAGGATACCCCAGGTTTATTCATATAATGAAAAAGTTTGGTTTATGACTTATTTGAAAAAGGTTATTGGGGGTCACAACAGAGCACCCATAGATGTTCTTTAAAATGCAGGCTTTGGGACAGAGGTAGACAAGCCTGGTATGTGTGCTGACAGCAGCATGCCAAAGTATTTTGCTTGGCACTCAAGGCTGGATCTCTGTCCAAGCAATCCCAGCACCAGCAGTACTACCAGGGCCAGCAGTGTGGGGAAAAACAAAAGGCATGGCTCATACTCATCATGCCTTCTAGACCTGCACAGCCAAGCAGCTGATTCCAAAGCAAATCACTGAGATGATGCCAGTGCCACTGGAGCTTAGCTGGCTCTAAACGTGTCTTCAGGTACAACCCTCATCTCTCTCCCTTGCATTTTGTTGGATGATTCACCAAGAAATTCACAGATGGATTTTGCATTCCTTTAAGCACTTGAACCAAAAAAGGTTACTTGCCCCTCTTTTAAAAGATCTGTAGATGCTGGTAGTCAACTTTGTTAGTTTCCACACATAACATCTACTATAAAGGCTGAGTCATACAGGATATTCTGTACTTGCATACAGTTTCAGAACTTCCATATATGCACCCGTCACATCAGATGCACTTGTGTGTCAAAGACATCTTCAGGATGGTCACAAGTGGGGGCCTGATCCTTTCCTTCCTAGAAAAGACATGCATCACTGAACTATGGCTATTGTGGGAAGATGGGGTAACCTTCTCTCTGTGACAAGAACATTTTCAGGTAGGAAGGTAGGAACTGACACTGAGTGGAACTGACAGTAGAATTCATTTCCACTGGTAGTAGAGCCACAGCAAATTGTATGTAATGCAAGTAGATGGAAAACTCTTCCTCCAAATGAGAGTGATTATACTTGTTAAGATAACACTGGGCAATGACCAGAATCTTCACACTGTATTGCATGACACTATCACATTCAGGATAGATTACTCCAGTGCTCTGTGGTCTGTGTTTCCGTAGAAATTAATTCAGAGATGTGGCAGCCCATTTGCTGGAGGCCTTGCTCCCAGGAAATACATTAAACTCTTCCTTGTAATGTAAAAATGATCAGATTTAAAATCATTCTCTTTATTTTTCTTCTCAGTTGATGTCTCAGAATTAGTGCCTGTGAATCAATGTACAGGAAACTAAAAGTCTTTTCATGTTTTGCCAGTTAGTACACTAATTGTTGGTGCATTATTTAGATATTTAAAATCAGTGTATGTGAAGTGCACATATACAATTCCAGCCTGACCCATTTGATAGAATACATAACAATGGTTTTAAAAAGAACATTAGAATGCCTGTGTTTGTTAAATTGTTGGCTTCAACATGCTCATATCCCAAATGGAGAATGAGGTTGAAAGGGCATTTCTGGACCGTTAGTAAATAAACCTTCATGAATACCATTTTGTAATTTTTTTGTTTGCTTATTTTTGCTTTATTTTCAAAATGTGCATACCAATTTTACTTTCTTTTGCTCAGGTAACCACAGAAACCAAACAGGTTAAGGAAGGACAGCTTTGATATGTTCAGATGTTGAACTGATGTTCAACCTATGAAAGAGACATTTACCTTACAAATAATGTCACAGCTGTGAATTCTTTCCATTTATTATCTTAATCAGTCACTTTCTCTTTCTCCCCTCCTTCTCACCCTGTATCCAAGGAGTGGCATAAAACATTCTTCCCTCACTAGGCATGTTTGTGAGGGGAAATCCTTAACATTTCCTACTCTAGAAGGAATATCTACACGTTGGAAAATACCAGCAACATCCTATACTGCACAGGCCCTGCCTTTGCCTTGGATATATTGGGGGTTCACATAAAATTCTGTTTTCATTTAAATCATCCCCAAGAGAGTTTTTAATGGACATATTTTCAAACATCACATGATTGCTATCCACAATAGTGTGCCACTTTATTTTGTTTTTAGCAAAGACTACATGATCAACTCCACTCACAGACTTGTATCATTCAGGTGCAGCCACCAGCCTCATAAGATCCATGCTGCACAGTGCAGTAGTATTCAAAGTGGATAAGTGAAAGATCAGAACTGACCATCTTTCCTTTATTTTCTGTTGAAGGGTTTTGTTTGGGAAGATACACTGCCAACCAACTGCAATGAAGTTGACTGTCAGACCCTTGCACCAACTCACTCTCAACAACACTCTTCTTCCAGTGATTTGTTTATTGAGATATGTAGTTGTGTCAAGTAGAGACCATATACGTCAGAACTGACTGGGTAGCTGCCAGTTCTGGTATTATACATAATTCAAACAGCCCCCCCCCCCAGTGACCTGTCCAATCAAGCCATTCACGCATCCCACCTAAACTAGCGTATGCTTCTTCCCCACACACACACCACCTGCGAACCTAACAGTTTCATGATCTACAACAGCCAGCTAGCAGAGACGTTCAAGGACATTTGCATTCTTCCCATTCAGGAGGCCCCTTAAGAAAACAGTTATGCAATGGCTAAGCGAAGCAGGTTCCCACACATGCATCCACACACTTATCAACTGCCCCCCCATGGCCCACATACAGAATGATGACAGGTAAAATTACAGGTAATAAAGACAGAACAAAAGACCCTATGGCAAACGAGGCCCCGAGTGTGACAATGACAAGTATTGTAAGACTTCTTCCTCTGCCTTTTTTTCTGGGCTTAAGTGAATTGTGATGTTTCATTATAAGTATATAAAAGCTAAAGCTTTTGACTGTGTGGATCACAACAAACTATGGCAGGTCCTTAAAGAGATGGGAGTACCAGACCACCTCACATGTCTCTTGAGAAACCTGTATAAGGGCCAAGAAGCGACCGTTAGAACCGGATATGGAACAACTGATTGGTTCAGCATAGGAAAAGGAGTACGACAAGGATGTATATTGTCGCCTTGCTTATTTAATATATATGCAGAGTACATCATGCAAACGAGGCCCTGAGTGTGACAATGACAAGTATTGTAAGACTTCTTCCTCTGCCTTTTTTCTGGGCTTAAGTGAATTGTGATGTTTCATTATAAGTCTATGTGATATTTTGCTATAACTTCCAAA